AACATTTATGCAATAGCGGTCACAGTCACGACTGATGTTCTGGACTTCTTATCAGATGGACGCAAAGCGGACTTCAAAATATTGATGTAGAGGTAGTGGTTGATTGCTGTTCGATATTGCTCGCTGAAGATATTGAACTAACTTAAATTGTTGATGCAGTAGATGAGTTACCTAATAAAGTAGTAGACAAAGAAATTGGAAGCAATAGAGATGTTTATGGAGATCCCAATAAGCAGTCCCATAGTGGCACTATAGGTGTGCGTGATGGCGCTAACAACAATGCCAAATCCAACGGCAAGAGAGCAGAATACTATAGTAAAACTAGTCACAATGAGGGAGCGGTATATCCCTTTCATGTTTAGATCTGAATGACATATTTACAATTATAGAAATCAACACAAACTCAGAAACTTACCTATTGACTTTCTTCTCACTTTCACAAGAAAAATGGCGTACGTCACTAAAGTGAAAAAACTTAGCAAAAATAATGCAATCGAGTACACTGTCTGGAATTGACCGTACATTACATCCATTATGCCACATATGACTTCACTGAAATTACAATGGTTGAACTGAGCAAAGCTTTATACTTCCATCAAATTTATTGCTGGTGTTTCCAAAATATATCGCGATTGCTCCAAAGCAATAAACTCAAAAATCAAAGGCGAGTTCTTAGCTTTTACCAGCATTAAAGGTCACTTTCATATCATGAAAAATAGTCTAGCATATTCTGAATCATTAAAACATTTCACCAATCTCTTTTTTTCTAATTCGAAGCTTTTAGATTTAACCTCCAATTAAAAGCCATCGTTCAAGCTCAACTTCGTCGCATTTAGTGGGCAAATTCAACTTTTATTAACCACTTGCTTTCTCCGGCTCTAAATTGAGAAAGAAAAATAGGTCGCGCACGTGAAAATAAATGACTTTTACAAAGTTTTTACTTCGGCAGTTAGATCTAATATCGAAACATTGCTGACCAAGTTGTGAAGAAAAATTTTGAGATTTG